CCTACTACTGGTGACCCAAACATGGTATCAGAAGGATCATTGTAGTGATGTTGCTTGTCAGTAAGAAAATTTTCCCTAAGGTCAGACTTGCTCCAAAGCTGCTTAACATAAGGCAGAATATTTTTATTGAGACACAACAATGCAATGATGAGCCTTTTGATGCCATGTGTGGGCCATCCATTAATATGGGAACACCCCTTCAGCATTTGATATATTTTCAGCTGTTTAAGAAAACTGTCTGTGATGGAATCTAATTACATCACCATCATCACAAAATTCCAAGTTGGAACTTATTTTGAGTCAGTTCCATTCAATTCGTACCTCTATACTCTAATTCAGTAGCATAAAATTTAATATTAACTTCCCTTTATACCCTAGTCTTTCAAATGTTCTCTTAGCATAATGATTTTCAACTAAATAGTCTTCAGTATTTTAATTTTGAATACTGATAATTTGTTTTCAGTCCTCTCAGCACTGGACAACATCAATAAGTATTCCATAAACGAAAGAGAAAAATCCTTAAGATGTCAGGCTATTCAAGAAATTCTAACATCAGAAGTTAGTTATCTGCACCAGCTGGAAGTTATCATGCAGGTAATTCCAGGCGTAGTTCAAAAGTATGTGCGGTTGTCTGACATGCCATCCATCATGGATGGGCACATATATGTACCACCTGTTCTAACAGTCTGTAAATGAATTTTGCCCACAAAGCATCTTTGTGGGTTTCATATGATTTTCACAGGAAACAGTGATTATTTTCCTAAATAGCATTTGCCAATTAATTTTTATAATGGAAAAGTGTTTTTTTTTTAATCCGAACTGAATCTATGTACATTATTTAGATGAGTTTCAGCTTCAAAGCGTGAAAGAATTTGCCTGTGTCCGTTATTTGTAATAATTGGAGAACAAGAAATATTAAATTATTTTAATCTGATTTTTGAAAAGGGAAGGAATGTTAGTGGCTGATATATACAGTTTGATCATCTCATATTCCTTTTCCCCTCTACCACACTACAGATGAAAACTTCTGAATTATTTAGCTAATTTTTATGGAACTTTGTAGGAATGTTATTTCTCTTGCAGTTGAGAAGGCTGAAGTATGAATCTGACCATTAACCCAAACTAGTTCTAAGGTTAAAGATATATGGAGCTTTGACTCTATGCCCCATATATGCCATTATGTTCTGGTACTTAGTTACAGACAGGGCTCATTGTGGTGCCTAACATTTTCTGGAGTAATAATAAAAAAATTCTGTGAAAACTGTAACTTGTAATAAACTAGTGGACAAGGACCATTCAGATTCTGAAAGGAGTAATTTTGTATCTTTAACCTTATCCTCTTTCTTACATTCCTTTACTCCTGTAATTTTATCTCCTTGCTTCAAATAATTCTTTTGTTTTGTTTTAGTTTTTCATGGAACCTTTGAAGAACAAGAGTTTCATTCCCAATGCCACATACACGGCTCTGTTTGGGCACATCGAAACACTTTATAATGTGAATGGTGAACTTCTTCATGAATTGAGACATAATCCTGAAAACATTGCAGCATCTTTCTTGAAGCTAGCTCCATTCTTCAAACTCTACTCTGTGTATGCCTATGATTATAAGGAAGCAATGGCTGTTCTACAGGTACAGCGTTCTGTCGTACAGTGCACATTCTTATAGGGTTAATTTTTTCAAATGCACTGACCCCAGACGACAGTGTCACAACAACCATTCACCGTCATCTGTGTCATGTCAATTATGCCATCAATATTTTGTGATGCATTGTAGCAGGGTTCGATCCCTGGCAGGGGCAGAGGGTTTTTTCTGTAGCCTCTGCATCCAGACCAGCTCTGGAGCCCACCCAGGCTCTAGGAGCTGGGTACCAGGGTCCTTTCCTGGGGATAAAGTGCGGCTGCCACTGACCACTCACCCCAATCAAGTGCCGAGGTTAAGAATGAGTAGGAGCTATACCTCCTCTCCCCCCAAGCGCCTAGGCGCATAGCAGGACAGCTTAACTTTTTTTATTGTAGCTGACTATGTTTTATTTATTTAAAAATAACTGTCATCACAGTTAACTTACATTTTCACAAATTAGTTTGTGTGTTTGATGCCCGTAATCTTGAGGATGGATCGTCACATACGGTTTATGTAGCGTGTGGTTCATCTTAGAAAGAATGAAACATTATCTATTCTAATAAATATTTACACAGTATTGTGACATGAAAAGGTAGTGCCATACCACAATAAAATGCAAGTATATAATAATTTAAGATGGTTCAGTGTGATCTAATTCTGTATCATAATCTTGTAATAAATGCGTGTACAAATGTATTTTTGTTATATTTAACCAGGGTTTGCAGAAGACTAATCCAGTTCTGAGCAGTTACATAGCAAACCAAGAGAGTCGCCCTGAAGTGTCGACAAAGTTAATGTCACTACTTATTGCACCAATACAGCGCATACCTCGCTATCGTCTACTACTGAAGCAAGTGATCTCACATACACCCGCATCACACCCAGACTACTCTGTTCTTCTGGGTAATTACTCTCACCAATATTTCTTTAAAAGAAAGAAAAAATTCTGTGTTTACATTCATGAGTGGCTGCATTCATGAAAAAAAGAAAAGTACCAATGTAGAAATAATTTTCCAGGCACACTTTTATATAGGTTTTCTAAAACATATTAAAATCCCGCATTTATTAAATGTTTAAAAAGAAGAATTGGGACCAGCTTATGACAAGTACATTCTGTGAAATATTTAAATCTATATTTTGAGCCTGCACCTTGTCGTGGTGGTGGGGTTTGAGTACCTCAGTGACGGTAGCATAGCTACTGGTAGGGCCTCCCTAGCCAGATTGGTCGAGGGGGAGAGGTCAGACTAAGACAGGTACCCTGGTCCTCCAGGCTGGGGGATGGTTGCAAGGCTAACAACCTTGCGCAGTAAAAATGAAGATGTTTCGAAACCTCGATCAAAGCCTCGGACAGACGGACCTAACGGAGGACCGGATGGAAGAGGAGAATTGAGGAGGCCATGGACCGAATACGGACCGGAGAGCCATAGAAGAAGGAGAATTTTAGAATTCCTGCTTTGAATTTGGGAAGTCTTGGATTATAATTTCAGCCCAGAGCCTGATATATTGAGGTTTCCTGTTCTTCCGTCTCTCCAGACATGCAGCCATGGCAGCTTCATTTTACATTCTTCCAAATGTTCGAAAGTACATAATCAATAGATAGATTTGTATATTTTGAAGCATGATGAAGGACCGTTAAAAGGCAAGGAGTTATTGTCAAATTGCTCAGTTATTATGATGAAGGCCATAAAGCAATAATTAAACATCAGTATAATTTATAAAACAAGAGAAATGCAACTAAACTTTTTAAGTTATAATTTATTTGTGTATAGGCATCTTTGTGATTGTAAATTGTTTTCCAACAGCTTCCCTCCGTGAAGTAGAGAAGGCTGCGGACCACATCAATAGTTTGGTACAAGAGCAGGAAAACATGCAGAGGATGCTTCAGCTGCAGAATTGCTTGTGCAGTGGCAGGCCGAGAATCGTAACTCCTGGCAGGAAGTTGCTTAAAGAAGGCTTGCTGCTGAAGGTAAGCGTACTTTGAGGTTTCATTCACAACTATGCAAATGACTTAAAACCCTTAATACCATATAGTACTACAGTACAAAAGTTGAACAGACATTTACCAGTTGCTGACTTTATTTCTTTACTTGCCAAACGCATTTCAGTTTCATGAAGCCATCGTCAGTGCCAGTTACATATTTGGCTCAACATAAAGGATAATTTTCCATGATTTATGGTGATTGTAAACAAGTGTGGGGTACTTATATGTACATATATTTGACATCTCTTCTCAGGTTTAAGATTGTACGATTTAGTTATTTTACTGGAGCAGTGTTTTTATAATTTAATATATTCCCACTGTCACTTGGTTCATACGTTATTAAGGGATAAGTCAAATGGACACGATCGTAGCGTAATGCTGCGTTTTGTATAAAATTAGGAAGGTAGGCTACTAAGCGAAGCGATAATGACTGAAGAGTCAACATATCATACAGATTCAATATGATACAGGTGTCACTCCATGGGAGGAAGTCTCATTCCCGTTACTTCATTCTGTTCAACGACATGCTGATGTATTGTAAGATGCGACGCTGTCCTCCTAAAGAACCAAACTCTTTGAAATGCTGTTGCGTCCTGCCTCTCAAGAAATGCACGGTGGACGAGATACTGAGTAAAGGAATGTTCAAGATTACATGCCAAAATGAAGTTTTGATCTTATGTTCATCTACGGTTGAAGAAGGAGAGACTTGGATTTCCACGTTGAGAAATGCAGCGAAACAGGTCAGTCCATACACTCGGATCATCACAGGGTCATGTTTAATGGGAAAGATTTATGGGTCCCAACCACCCTAAAATTGCTGGAAATGAAAACAAAAGAGCATTAAAAATATTAGGAAAGAAACATTTGATGATGTCACCAGCTTGGATATTTGTTGTATAATGTAGTTCTTGTTCCTCTTTTATTAAATCTCGGATATGCTGTCGTCATCAGGCATTCGCTGGTCTTTGTGTCTGTTAGCCTCATTTTATTCCTATATTACAGCCACATTATGATTAACTTTGGGTTTTGTGTTTGTCATTGCCTGTCATCATGGTTTAAATTATTTAGTATTAAAGATTACCGTGGACTGTTTCAGTACCAGGAATGTCGCCAAACTTTAAGGAAGGACAGTAGCTCTAGGAGACCAGTTCGTCGGCCATATGCATGCAACTCAAGCGAAGATCTTCATCCAGTTAAGAGAATGAAGACAGTTTCAAAATCAGTATGTGTTAACTGAAGTTTGAAGTTTTCCGATGATGATGCATTATAATATGTAAAATTGTTCTTCTGGATTTTTTCCATAATTTAAATTATAAAATTATCAAATCTACAACATTTTGGAAGCTGGATTGGATTGTGCTTCCATCTTTTGGTGAAAAAGAGGGGAAGAGGACAGAAAGCCTGTCCTCTATCCCACTTTTCCCACTTAAAGATGGAAAAACAATCCAATCCAGCTTCCAAAATGTTGTAGATTTGATAATTTTATAATTTAAATTATGGAAAAAGTCTAAAGGAATAATTTTACACTGTATGTGTTAAGTTCATTTGGTTTTATGTTGAAATAATTAATTCAAAACAAGCGTAGATTTCTGTGCCTATATGAATTTGTTAAATTTATCAGTAGTTGACATTTCTATTGCACTAAAAACTCATTGATATTCATAATTACAGGATTCACAAGTGCTGAAAGACAGTCTGTATCCACTAAGAAGTTCAATTAAAAGGAAAGAAGTAGTACCGTCTACAGAAGCCTGCGCCACTGTACTGAGTGCGAAGAAAGAACAACACGAAGAAGTTCATTCTGCGACCAGTGGAGATGTCAGCACTATCCAGAATTCAGCTCCAAATTGGTGCATGCAGGGTACCCAAGTTCTCAGATATGTCGCAGCACGTGTCTCTCAAGCGATTCGGAAACGCTTGTTTAGGCGTGCTTCTAACGTTCCGGTGGTCAGGTGATGTTGAGCCTGAAGTGAGTAAGGAAATAAAAGTCAGACCAACGTAAGATGAAACTAAAGGGACCACTAACTCTTATACCAAAATAGCGTTGATATCTTTCTTTAACGTGGGGAAAATATGAAGTGTATTAACAATTTTAGTGGGAAAAACTTCAGGCAAGAGACCATTTGAGAAATTTTGATGTATACAGGAGGTAAAATTAGTGGTTCTTAGAGAAAACATTGACTGCGTGAAGTAGACTGAGCTGGCTCAGCATGGAGGCTAGTATTGAGTTTTGTGATCAACATAATGAACTTTAAGGTTCCATTACAGCAGGTAATATCTTCAACAGCTGAATAATGATATGAACTGTTGAAGAGAAACCTTGTACCATGGAATTATTTGTATTAAAATTGAATATTAAAAGTATTTACTTCTTAAATTGATAGACAGTTTCCCAACCTTCATACAAAGTATGTAATTTTTCCCAATGAATCTTTAATCTTGAACACATTTTGGAATTGTTTAGGGCCAAAAGGAAGACACTTGCCACAGGGAGTGTGTACGAACACTCAAAGATGCATCTACTAAAGACTGCACAGATATTCAACTACTGTTAATCTTAGGATGCATGAAATATGTCAGGATTGTTGTGCTATCTCGATCTTTTAAAAAAAGCAGCAGCTTGAACATACAAAGGAAATGTAGGACAAAGAAGCTAAGAGCTTATACATAAAGCAAAACATGATGGGTTCTGAGATTGGTGTCAGGTGTAGGATAGTGGCAGACGATCAGCAGCTTCAAGTTAACCATCATCAAAAGCGAAAGAACTGCCTGGGTGACGCCAGAAAAAACACCAGACGGACAACGTAAACAAAGCTGGGTTTTACGAACATCCGGTATGACTAACGTCAGAATTCATTCAAAATTTCTTAAAGTCGCCAATTGAGTTCCTTATAAAATGAAATGCCTATCTTATAGTGAACATAATTGTAACATTTAAATTAAAAAACATATTTATTACATTAATTACCAGAAAATTATTATATGATAATTATACTGAACTATGTTTCGAGATCTGTGACCAGTTCTTCTAACCTTAAAAGCTTCGTGACATGTGCAACATCAATAATTGTTACTTCATGAAAACTGACTCATGTTCACCACAAAATTGTTTCTTAATTTATGCTGGAAACAAAAGTACAAGACAAATACAAAAGGAATAGTAATAATGTGAAATAATGCAATTTATATCACATGTCTGAGGTTGGATATTTTAAAATCTATGACAAATAGCACAGTTCTTATTTTGTTTCTAAACTCCATAATCATCATAAATAAAATACATTATTTATGCAGCTCTCTTCTCTAAGAGCATTTAAATTATAGTTAATTTAAATACTATACACCACATGATAGTGTCGATATTCAGTTCGTACCTTCAAACTTCATAATTATTTGAGCAGGGTTGTTGCACGTAGTTCAGGCAGAATCCTCGGTTGCCCGCATCACTTGGGGCCTCTATGTTGTTTGTATGGACAGTCAACCTGAACGGTTTCACTGTGCCTGTTAAAAGTATTTAATATCGGTTAAAAAATGCGAAAGAAAATGTAAGGAAGGAGCAGAGTATCTAACAGATAGAATATTCAGATTCAGACAGAACTGGAAAGAACACAATGTAGAATGGAGTGGGAAAAATTATCAGAATATTGCAGTTATAAATGACAAGGTTATGAAGAATAAAAAATCCAGTTTAGAGGTTAGGGGATCAAAATTTGGTACCAAATAGAGATTTAAAACTACATAATGTAATGATCATAACAATAAAGGGGTGAATGCTAGAAATACTGGCTTGTTGTAATTTTAATGTAGCACATAAAGTAGAAGCATTCCTAAAATTGCAATTTATTAATTTTAAATATATGAAGGTTTTAATAGGTTACCAGAACAATATTATAGGTAGTTAACACAATGTTTTACAGCAGTGGTCCCCAACGCGGTGCTCGCGGGCGCCCGCCAAGGCTTTCTTGGGTGCCCACGTTGTTACGGAAAGAGTTTATACTGAATAATGAAGGCCGTTAAACCGTGAACATTATAAAATCAAAGCACAGATCTCGACTTACTGACGCCCATCTTGACGATTGTTTGCGAGCAGCAACATCATCCTACACTCCCAAATTTGAAAAACTGGCCGATGAAATGCAGCGCCAAACTTCCCACTTGAGTATTAATAATTGTACTTATAAAACTACGTATTTTTGATTGCATGGTTTCTTGTATCATTAAACGTCGTGTTGTTTTTCGTATTATTTGGTGTCCATTTCTTATTTGTCCAGAGAAAAGAAAATTTGGCTTTGTTAATTGGTTGGTGCCCACCAAATGTGCCCGTAGGCACAAAAAGGTTGGGAACCACTGTTTTACAGTAACGTAAATGGTGAAGTACAGTTAGAATTTTTTTTTTTTAAATACCACGTGCAAAATATATATATAAGATAAGATTTATGTATGTTGAGATGGGCCCATGAATGATGCCGCACAACTGCAAGAATTTAATATTCTGCATTTATGCAATTTTGTCACAATCATTCTACAGCCAATGATTATTATTTTATAGAGAACTTGGTCTGAGAACAAAGAACATTATACCAAATCAGCGTTGTATGAGATTACAACACTGGTAAAGTTCTACCATGCTACAAGTTTAATTTAGTGAAAACAAAATTTGTAAAAATTTAATTTACCCTTCTGATGTTTTTTAATAAATAATTTCCTTTTTTGGGAAGGGCTCCATAATACTTTACAATTACCACATTGTCATTACACCACAATTTGAAAGGATGATTTTCCCCTTTCCCTCTATCCTGGACACCTCCGTAAGTCGGACACATTATCATGGAACCGCAAGTGTCCGAGTTAGAGAGGTTTTACTGTAGTTGCTATCATTTATTTGGTTAGAAGAATTACAAAATTTTGAATATGAAAATCAAACTTCAAAATGTTTAAATTTTCAACGGTATATCGTGAATGAGTTGTAGTGATAGGAATCACTTACTGAATACCGTTGCCGCTGTTGTCGAGATTTCTGTATTGAGAGTGCCCCCACAGATGCGGTCTACACATGCCAGCAGTTCAGTTCTGCCAACATTTGTTGCACATGGGATAATGAGCCAGTCTTCATTGCAGGAGTTAGGGCCGATCGTACCTGTATTTGAGGATACTGCAGTTTGACCTCGAGTGTTGCCAGAGAGAGTGAACGCATGCGTCCTGTTGTTCACTGAAATGCACCAGACACGAACTTAAATCTGAATCTGAATATTGGCTATAGAAGTGGCATGGGAAGGGGCCACTTGGTTGAGACATGTAGATGGGAGGATGGTATTAAAATGAATGTAAGATAATTAAGTTTTGAAGTTGTAAACTGGATTGAACTGGCTAAAAACTGAGCCAAATAGCAGACTTTTGTTAACCTTTAATATGTGCACCACAGCTTACAGCAATCCTAACACTAACATTCCACCAAGTTGTTGACCTTGGGGTTTAATCAGGCAGACAGCCGCAAAGCACGGGAGTACAGATCACGAACCCCTCTACGACACATGTTCTACTGCACCTGTATCAGGACAGGCGGCGTACTGAATTCCGCAGAAGTTCCTCTCCTTGCGGATACAGATGCTGTAATCTTGCTTAGACAGCTGAAGGCCAAATGCTGGGTCGTAATTGTAGGACTTTATCTGCCCAGACACACCAGTAAAGTACTGGAGACATCCCTCTTCAGCTGGAAGAACAATTCTATCGTAGCATTTTTTACAGAAAGCAAAGGTACTTAGAACTAGATTTATTAATACCATATTAAGAGAAAGCCTATTACAGAATGTAGTAGTTAATTATAACGCTTGAAGATGGCTGTTATCTGGTAGAAGTTTTCCAACATTTCAGGGACCTTGTTGCCTCCATCATCAGGATTTGACAGATGTATGCAAGAACAAGGTTCGAAAGGTGTGCAAAAAAGTTCCAGTGGTGTTTTTATGCTACAATATGCTTCTTGTTATCGCCATGAAAGTAACCTCCGATGTGCTATCATTCTTTTTTATATGCTCAAACTGCCGTATATTAATTATAAACATTAAAACCTTTTTTGTGTAATGCTGAAAGTTGTAATCAGCGTAGATATGTATACAGACAGGCACAGGATGGGTGTTCTCTTTTGGGACCCTGGCCTAAGAAGGATTACTGGTTGTAAACAAAAAATTTTTAAACCAAACTAAAAATGCTGCGTACCTCTGTAGATGGTGTTGCATGGAATCTGGCAGATCTTGATCTTCCAGTTTCGTGGGAAAGATAGCCCGCTTGTTACGAAGTTGAGTGTCACAGGATTGGTGTTTCCCACTCCTGCATCTATGTACACTGAAATCACAGGGTACCTTCAGTGGTCGTCTGTTATGGCAACGGAAGTCAACGATATTAGATATTCTGGGTGTATGAAACGTAGAAAAACACATTCTATATTTAAATACTCTGTTGGAGAGAATTTATAGTGAATTATTTTGTAATTTATTGTCATTATTTCTAATAATAGTGCTTATGAAATATATGGACAGAGGATGATGAAGGAAGCGAGTGATTTGGGATATTACAAAATAAGACATTTTATTATTTATACAGTTCACGAAATATTTAAGAGTAATGATGAACGGAGAGACAAGAAATGCATACAATTAGAAACATTTTATAAACATCGACCTGGAAGGTAAAAAAGGATGGATTAATAGCAGGTTGTTTTACCATGCTGTGCTAACTGCGTTACCAAAAAAAGGAGGTGGCATAATAATATTAAAGAGAAACAAATTTTGAAATTGGAAGTGGGTGGACCTGACTTAGTTTTGTGTGTTATGGTGAGCTGTGCCACGACGACCGAACAGGGTGACAGATTGAGGAGGATGTTTCAGAAAATTAAACAAAAGTGAGATTTCAGGATCTCACAGTGGCACGTACGAAGACGACTGTCTTCTAAGGTGTTGTGCCATGTAACGCAACATGGCACTACAACCCAGAAGACATCTCCACAATTCAACACAAGTTTGTTAAAAATATAGCGAAATTGTTTTCTACAGATTCACTACATTATACAGATAATTACAAGTTAATAATAAAGCTTATAGTAGAATTTATAGGAGCATTTAACAAGAAGGTACTGAATGCGTCGTACTGCACGCTTCTGCGGTACGTACTTAAATTTTGTGGCTTGTGATACGTAGCGCAACCAATGCTGGGTGAAGTGGCTGATATGAAAATCTTAAAATGAGTTTTGTCGCTGGGTACTCACTGTGATTTCCAGTGTTAATTCCACATATGGCCGAGGTGGGGTTACCACCAGCTACAATGAACTGATCATTATTACATATATGGTCAATTGACTCTGGTCCTGCAATACTGAATTGATCAAAGTCCAGCCTGAAATTAAGAAAGAGAATTACAATTAATTTTTCTATTGGCTAAAGTGTTGATATGTTAATATTATTTAAGTGTTTGTTTGAAATAGAAATTTATAATTTTGGAGAATTAGTTTTACAAGTTTGTATGACTGAAGCTATCATCTTGACTAAATGCAATAAAATCATCTCAGGTGACCAGATTTGCCATTTCAGGCACAAAGGTCTCTGAAATATTATTAGACTTTTGTCCTGAATTGGTGCAGCTGATCGCCCAAGGATTTTATCATCAACCTACCTGAACTGACAGATGTCAGGATGTGCCTTGTTGATAGTAAGTTGACAGGATCCCGTACCATCATAGGGCCCCGGGTAACCTTGGTTTACGAAGTAGGTGCAGTTCTCCTTGGTATTCTGACCACATGTGGCTAAAACTGTGCCCAGCACCCAGATATTAGACAGCAAATAACATTAAATTCTCTGCTCTCTTACAGTTAATACAATTTAAATAATATTTTAAGGATCTTCTGATGTATAAAAGTCACCACCTTGTCCACTGTGCCTCAGATTTTGTTATTTCCCCCACACAATGCCGCAATCCAAATCTTGCATCTCCCTGCTCTCAAATTGTATCTTTGAAAAAATTCACAGAAACAAATCTTTTAGTAAATGGTTGCTACAAACTGGAACTGGGATAACTTACAGACACAGCAAGACAGAGTTTATCAGCAGTAAACGTGCTATATGGTATCTTTTCTGAATAATATTGTTTAGTGACACTCGGTATAATGAAGACGGCCAAGTTATATTTCCTACTTACATTGTAGGACTTAGATATAACTCGCAGTCCCTCCCCAGATGAGAATTTATAACAGAATCATGGAGAGTGAGTTTGGAAAAAATTTTAACACTAAATAAACTTGAAATTTATACGGTATCTAAAAGTTAAAAATCTTTTACGTCTCTGAAACATTGGACTTCAAACTGACGTTGGTGATCGCCTGTGGACATTGAACTGGGATAACTTACAGACACAGCAAACACCATAGCCGTTAGCGCATGGTCCACTGGCCACGCCTCCACGGTCAGAACACTCTGCCGAAGTAACGCAGGTGCCGTTGTCACCAGAAGATGCAGCGCAGCCTTGGTTTTGGAACTGCACGATGGTGAAAAGCGAGAGGACTGGAAAAAATGAGACACCGCGATTCAGTGTTAAACGATGGGGGTGCATCAGGTGATTAGTCACAAAATGCAAAAAAAACTTTTATTTGTATGGAAAATTAACACTTTTCATTAGGAATAAATTCAAGAAGTTTATTTTATTTTATATTCTGTCTTCAATTTAAAAACCCCCAACTTAATATTAATTTTGATCCGAAGATGACCGTCTTCTGGGATGCTGCAATGTGTAGTATGTCAAGAAGCAACTGATGTTTCAGAGGTGCTTACTGTCTCCATTATATGGGTGGCAGTAAACATACTCACTGATGTGAGAACCTGATATTTAAAATTTTAATCTGTTTTATATGAATGTAACATTCAGTCCCTTGTTTTGAGTGAACATATTGGGGCATTAGTGAACTAAATGGTGATAAGAATATCTGAACCAATGAGAGGAGCAGAGGAATGCATAAAATGATGTAACAGAAAAAATATTTATCTGAGAAGCTCAAAGGAAGAGACTGCTTTAAAGATCTTAATGCAAATGGCTGTATAATATTAACCCTTTTAACCCCGAAGCCTATTTGCAAAATCCTGTTGAAAATACTGAGGTCAATTTTCACTTATATACAACTTAGAATGTAGAAATTCACCAAGAAAAGAATTTTACACACATACATATGAAAAAAATTGCACTTATACACTAACTACTGTAGAGTAGAAAACAAATCTCATAAATTCTAATGTTATACTTAACTCAGAAAAAAATTTGAAAAATTGAAAAAATAAATCATTTTCAGGAGGTACAATCATAAATTGTGTTTTGACTTCCTTCTTCACCACTCATCCTGCAAGAAATAACATTTATTTTTGCATAATTCGATATGAGTTTGGTGTCTGTACTGTTATCTGGTCCCGAACTACAACACTCTTTGTAAAATAATGCACACGAAAATTCAAAGCCGGATATAGTTTCAGCAGGTGGGCCTGTTGTTTCAGGAGCACTATCATCACTTTTAGTACCGGGTCTCCAATTTATGAGGCTGCGGTCGTGCTTGCATTGCGTTATCGGCCGCTGCTGTTGACGAAGGCGGGACTTGTACGCGTGAGTCACGGGCGAATCAGTTTCAGTGCCGCTAGTATCAGCGAACTACGAATATTTCTCGTCACTAATACATGTTATTACATTAATTGTTCTTCCCTTAAATCACAAAAGATGTTCAAGGTGACTTCCTTGTGCTTTCTAGCAAGTTTCACATCTCGTTAACATGTTTCGAAATACTCGACGAAGCTCTTCTTGGGAAATTGTCGAATATTTTATTTTTGCTATTCTGAAAGCGGTGTCAGAATATATAAAATCATTCTTATATACCACGTTATTTAAATAATGGTTGTCTTCCAGTGGTTTTATTTTATTATTTGATGCTTTTCTACTTTCAGATGGGAAAATTTATGAAAAATAGATATTTTCATAAGCTCTTCTCATTAAAGTCAGTATTGATAGTTTCTTAGAACCAGTCCATTGTCATGTGCTCTACAAATAGAAGAATGAGATTGTACGACAACAATGTCAAAAAAACTATGCTGACTGTAATGTATCGTCAGTGCCATTTAAAACTGCTCTTCTCAGAACAGTTTCTCAAATCTACACCTGTATCATACAGAAGACACATTTTAAATAAGTAAATCTTGGATCCTAATACACTTTGTTACATGTTGACCACAACTCTGTTAGAAACTCACATTTCCCGTTCCTCTCCACTGCTGAGGGCCCGAGCGTCTCATTGACGAGCGATTTGTCCAGTCCAGGCTTCAGCCCTGCACTTGGCCGTCTTCTTCGAGCTCCATTCGGTTCCGTTGCGACCTTCAGAACAACAGACGATCAATCGAATCGACAAATTATATTTCGATTTGTAACAATGAACTTATACTATATATTATAATATAAACCGTGCATAGTGGGATGTGTGCTATAATGGCAGGGAAAATATAAATTCAACCAAATTAATTTTAGTGAGAACATTCTGTATGAACTCACTTGTCGTCGTCGCCCGTTCAGTGTTCGGTCCTTCGTCGCCGATCCATCGATCACCTCAGCTCCCATTACGACGAACTCGAATGTGAGCGCACACAACACCAGCATCGTTGCGCATCTGCGCACTGCTGCCATCTAGTTGGAGATATTACTACTATTAGCTTTGCATGCAGGTTCCGACATTTTTTAACAGCAACTGTGATGCAGTTAAAAGTTAACCCTTAATTAAGCGCAACAAGCGATTGGCGTAATTGCGTAATTTTAAGCGAGCTGTAAAGAAACATTATAGCTGGAAGGATTTAAAGTTCAGTTCGGGGCGACAACAGGGGTAAGTGAATTTTATTTGCAAATCACGTTTACGGTTTCTCATTCCTGTTATTTAACTTTGTTGTCTGCTATAAAAATATTAGGTTATGTGTGTCATTCTCGAAATTAGTATCAATGCTAACAAATCACAGCCCCTCCCTCGATCTCTTACGCCTAACCCCATCCAAGTTTCTACTCTATATTCTATATCAGGGGTGACAAACATTTTGGGTAAGGGCAGCTAGGAGGATATCTCAATAAAAATCGGGCACCATGAGCTTAAGAAAGGCACGTACGTTTAAAAAGACCAGGCCTACTTTTGTACGACTAAGAAGCCAACAACATATTACGCATTTAATCCTAATTTAAACACTGTGACCAAATTCTCTCTTTTCCTCAGCTTCTCGGCTGGTGCTCCAAAGCATTTCACAGTGGTCACGCGGTTGGCGATACCTGTCTTATATACTATAAGGGCGATCTATATATTCTTTTAATAGAAATGTTGTACACTGCTCACTAACCCACCGTGTCTTCCCTTACCTTGTTAGCAAAACAGTCGTAGACGCGCACAGTACAGTGTGACATGTGACGTGGCGTGGAGCGTTCTTTTATCAAGTGTCCGCACCGCTTGGCCTCAGGACCGTGTCGCACGGAAACATTGTTCTGCGTTGACACTCTCATTCTCTGCGAGAAACAATACAACCCCCACTGTAGAAGAAGTCTTTCTCTTTCGGAATGTCTCGCCATAGCCTCAGACGAAAGTCGCAGTAGCTACAATTTGTGGTCAATGCGGATGGTTTGCCTAGCAATGCAACACCAGATCACTTTAACTGGCGGGATATGGAATAAAAGTTTTTCTTTTGAAATAAAGGTAATAAATACATAATAGCACAGAATATACATGGAAAATTGGACGAAATAAGGATATATGGACAACTTCCACGTAAATTGGTTGTATTTGTAGGCAAGGAACAGTCCTACAGAAAGTACAATTATGGCAGCTTAGGATCAGGCAGGCAGCCCAAACTAATTTGAGAGAAAAATATGAAAGAAGAAATTTAAAATACATATCAACTATACAATCACGGTGGTCTAGCGGTCAGAACGCTGGCCTTGTAATCCTGGGAGTCTCGGGGTCGATTCCCGGCGGTGCCCGAATTTATAACTTGTGTTGGGCAAGGCCGTGGTCTAGGCAACACGGAGTTTTCCTCTGGGGGCTTCCCAACAATTACTCCATTCACACACAGAAGAAGGCAATGGCAAACCACTTCTGGATCATCTGCCAAGAACGTATATGAACAGGTCCCAGTCCGAGAAAAGGATGGAAGGATCCTGTTCATATGGACCTGTCGTCAGGCAGAACACTAAATAAAATATAAATAATCAACTATACAAAGAATACGAAGAAATTATTGGCTACTTTACACCAGAATGCCCCACATCAGCAAAGAACAAATACATAATAAGACATAATATAATTTGTACACATCTATACTACTAAGTATGTAAGACAGAAAACTGGTTCACATATCAGTCGGTATGTGAACATAACGACATAACAGTAATGTGTAATCAAGGGGTTCAAACAGAAAGGCAAGACATTTTAATTACAAAAAAATAAAGATAAAATTTTTCGTACTGATAAAGAGAACGATGCCATTGGGTAGGAATATAATAGACGGATTCCCGAAAATAAACGAAAATAAAGAAATAAAAGTATAGAAATTTAGAGAATGTGAAATATAAAATGCTTTGCCACTCTGGTAATAATTGTAACCACGGGAATTACAACCAAATGACTAAAAATATCTCTGAACAATAGCGTTAAACAGATTCTGTACACCAGACAGCCGTACTAGGAACACTGCGAGGAAAGTGATACAATCTGCAACCTGAAGTCTGAGTGGTGGGGTTCACCATCGGCTCGAAAGGAGAATTACCAGGAAAAGGAAAATCTGTGGATACAGAAATAGCAACAATACCAAAGCATGATGATGAGGGTACAATGGAATTGCTTCTCTGCACGTACCGAGTTCTAGACCAGAATTAGCTACTAGCTACAATATATCAGTCGGAGGTAGAGTTGATCAGTTCTCATTCCTACCATTCCTAACTGATTTCACTGCAGAAGGTGAGATAATGATAATTTTGTATTCTGTAAGTGATTTTGAGGGAATAGTAGGTAGCGTTCTGTAGCCCCGTTTTATTAAAATCTTCTGTCATTTGTCCAGAAATATGGGGATCTCCAGAACAGAGTTTAATTACCAAACACGAGCCATTCATGGTATGCCAACGTTTATGCCTTGATCTGGGAGTTATTTAACTTATATCTTAATTGCGTCATGCTTGTGTTCTTCAATACAATAATTTTATTCACCGTCTTTACACAAGCTTATAGATTGTTAAAATCACATAAAATTATAACATTTCAACATTTGATATTGTTACATTTTAAAATGACGACATGTTTCGATGTTCATTCCATCATCGTCAGGTCTATCAATTAAAATTAAAAACTGTTGCACTTGCTGCCCTGCGTATACTGATTTTTTCTACCCGTTAGATTTTATTTGTTTAACCTCCAGGCTTCTTCCATTTAATTTTGAAGACTGCGCCTGGATGTCTTAAATCGGGTTGTGTGTGAGGTGCGTGTCCGATATTACGGAGCTGTAGACCGCAGAGTTGGGTTAGGTTAGGTTAGGTTAGGTTAGGTTAGGTTAGGTTAGGTTAGGTTAGGTTAGGTAAGGTAAGGTTAGGTTAGCTTAGGTTAGGTTGGGTTGGGTTGGGTTGGGTTGGGTTAGGTTAGGTTAGGTTAGGTTAGGTTAGGTTAGGTTAGGTTAGGTTAGGTTAGGTT